AGGATATTGTTATCTTGATATCCAAAAAAGGGCATGAGAATGAGTGGAGCATTTATCTCATTTAATTTCAGTCTGTAACCCAGATTCCATCCTTCTTAAGAAAATAAAGGACTTTTAAAAAATGGTTTTATGCAAAATGAAAACAAAAACAGGACATGGGTAAGCACAGTACCTATGTGGTAGGGACTATGTTTGTAAGTTAGTGTAGTATCTTTCCTCAGATGAGTCCTAAATAAGTTTTGATGATATATGTACACTTAGAATACTTTGTGCTTACTATATTCATTTGAGTTATACTAATTGCTAGCAGTTATTTCAGGAGCATATAAATCAATTCCCATACTCAAGCACAATTGCCAAATCTCTACATCTTCTAAACTGTTCTGTAGAGTAATTCTCTACAAACTCTCCATGGGATGTTAATTTATACAGGACGGAAAAGGAGGTGAGGAGTGTCAGAATTTAGTTTAAAACAGCCATTTTTATGACTTTTAAAAAAATGCAAAGGAAGACTGGTAGACTGGGAAACTCTAAGGTGTTGGGAGAGGAGGATTATTTGTACTAAAAATTTGTACATTAATGCACACACACATACAAAGATTAATATGCATGACAAATCAAAACTTCATACTCACAATTTTATATTAAAACTTCAGAGTTCTTTCATTAAATCCTAGACAGTACCAAAATTTACCAAAAACACTGCCTCAAAAACACACACATAGATTTACAGTTTCAAGCCAAAGGCATTCAAACTATCCCTCATCCTCTGAAAAGAGAAATGTTTTTATATCCCTATTTGTAAAAATTATTTTCCCAAGGCAAGTAGTAGCAACTGGAGTGCTCTAACAAGTTGCCAGCATTCACAGTGATTTAGAGGCATGGCCAAGGCACTGCTACAAACCATAATTTTAAAAGGGTTGGAAGATGCCCTTTTATAACAGGGATACACATATATGGACTTAAGTGTGGGCCTCTGTTATAGAATTCAACACAGGCATGAGTCCATTTATGGTGGGGAATTTTTAGTTTCAGCCAGCTCCACACCAATCAGACATTCTCTCAATTGATCTATGGCTCCAATAATATTGCTATACTTTCAATATAAAATAATTGGCTATAAACTTCTTAAAATCTTGGGTTTATGTCTTACATTTCATAAATATTTGTTATCTCTAAATATTACTTGAAAGTGTGCCCAGAAGGTAGTACTTTTTATTCATTAAGTGTCGGGCATCCTTAGTCTTTTATTCTCCTCTAGTTCTGTAATCACTGGTGCACTGAAGAAGACTGACAAAGGGGAGAGCTCATAGTTAAAGGACCCCATTGTGCACTAAGATGTCTATATCACACAAGTACCACACTTTAGAGAAGACACCTGGTGCTGTTTTAGGTTCACTGGTCATGACAGTGTACGCCTGGGCTCTAGTTTCTGCTCTGCGATGTAGAAAGGTGGTGGTGATAAGGAAGGTTTTGGCAAGCTTTGGATCCAAACTCCAGCTCTGCCATCTTTAAACCATGTCTTTGGTAGGTTATTTGACTTTCCTAAGTCTTTGATTTCTCATATATAAAATGGGAAAACTACCGCTTATCTCAAAGGTATACCCAGGTACATAAAATGTTGTGATAAGTAGAATTTTAAGATGGTTCCTATCACCTTTACTCCCAGGTGTTACTTTCATGATCATGTAACTTTACATGGCAGAAGGGAAATTATACAAATTTGCCTAATTTAATCACATGAACCCTTAACAAGCGATGAGTTTTCTCTGGCTGAGAACAGAAGAGGAAGGCAGAGAGATATGAGGTGCAGAAAGGATTCTAAGCACTGCTGTCAGCTTTGAAGATGGAAGTGCTCCGTGTGAATATGAGTGGCTTCTAAAAGCTGAGAGCAGCCCCTGGCTGACAGCCAGCAAGAAAACAGGGACCTGGCCTATGACTTCAAGGAAATGAATTCTACCAACATCAGCAATGAGTCTGGAAACAGATTGTTTCCCCAGAGTCTCCAAATAAGAGCCCAAGCTGGCCAAGATTTCACCCTTTTGAGGCCCTAAGCAGAGAATCCAGATAAGCCTGCCCAGACTTTTGACCTAAGGCATAAACGGATGTTGTGTTAATTAATAAGTATTGTTTTAACCTGTGCCTCCCACCCAAAAATCTTATGTTGAAGCTCTAACCCCCAATGTGACTACATTTGGAGATAGAACTTTCAGGAGATAAAGTTATATGAGTCCATAAGAGTAGGGCTTTAATCTAATAGGACTGGTGGCCTTCTAACAAGAGGGAGGGAGGGAGGGAGGGAGGGAGGGAGGGAGGGAGATCTCTTTCCATGTGCACACAGGCTAGTAGTCCCTACAGAATTATAAGGAAGTAAATTCCTGTTAAGCCACACAGTCTGTTGTAATTTGTTATTGAAGCCTGACAGACAGATACTGGGGGCAAGGAGGACTTGTCAGAGGTAGTGCTTGAGCTGAAGCATGAAGAATAGGAAGGACTTTGTGTTTCCTGGTGGTGAGATACATGGTCTTTCCAGGCAAAGGAAACATGCAACAAGGCACAGAAATTTCAGGAAGCAGCATCCATCCAAGCTGTTGGAGCACAAGGTACTTGGAGGGGGAGTGGGAGAGAAGGCTAGAAAAGCAAGCTGAGGCCAGACACTGAGGCTTAACATCAAAGGCCAAAGACTTAACCTAAAGGATCAAGTTCAGTGGGATAGTATCAAAAGTTCTTAAGTATTGGGAAGTATAGAATAGTATCCATTTTCAAAGGACCACTCTTGTGGCTGTGTAGGAGGACAGACTGATATAAAGTGGAGAATAATTTAGCTCTGACGTTCACATTGTGCCTCATGAAACCCATGGGTCCTAGAAGTCAAGGGTCACCATAAAAATGGAGAAGGAGACTAAGTGGGCAGGTTCCTGGGACCCCATCCCCACTTTAATCACAGCAGTTCTGTGGCCCTAGCCTCAACCTGGAATCTTTGTTACACTCAGGACAACCAGCCTATAATATTTTACTTCAAAGACTACTGAAAAAGTGGGTCATCTGTAGGTCAAGGACACTACCCTCAAAGCCTTCCAGTTGTGGTGAAAAAGTCAGAGAATTATCAAGAATTCTCAGAAAAATATATCTGGACTCCTGCCAGGAAGAAGACAGAACTAGTACCATGTGAATGGGCCCAAGCTAGATTGGGGGTCATGCCAAAGCCCTAGTCTTTCATGGCTCTTAACATAGTCTAAGACTACACCTACACAAGTAAATGATTCTGTGTGGAAACAAAATTGTAAAGTAATTTCGTGCCACAGGGATCTACTCTTATCTGATATATTTTTTACCTCAAAATATCAGGTTGTGACCTGAAATAGGAAAATAATATAGCGCAAACAAAAATTACTATAAACTAACCTTCTGGTTTACAGAAAATATGTTATCATTTAGGAATGAGCTTTAAAAATCTCATAGCAATTTTTTGCAACTGTACTCGTATAGCAGAACTAAAGAGTATTTTAAGATTGCAAAGTAAGAACTTTATGCCCAGCAGAGGGCAGTGTAGCTCTCCACAAAGCCCTTATGAGCACAACAGAGAATGGTGAGCATACAAGGGGCTGAAATATTCTAATCCATTAAAACTATTTTGTGTCTGTCTAGTGACTTTACTTTTCTAAAACATGTCAGACATATTGCCTAACAGTTATCCTTGAAAAGGTAGCACAAAGATGAGCTATTACAGTCTTGTAGTAATTTAAAAACTCCCTGGAAAAATTTAGCTCCCTACAAATAAAAAAATGATATGATCATTTCTGGGAGGGCTGAGGTTTGTGTTGTCTTTCACTATTTAAAACAACTGCCTTTTTGTTTCCTAAAACTTAAAAGCTAGCTTTTTTCTTTTTCTTTTAGAGAGAGAGGAGAAATATCGATCAGTTGCCTCCTGTACACCCAACCTAGGTTTGTGTCCTGGCTAGGAACAGAACCAGCAACCTTTCAGTGAACAGGATGATGCACCAACCAGCTGAGCCACACTGGCCAGGGCTAAATAAGCAGGCCTTTAAAAGAACCTAATATGCCATCGTTTTTTTGTTGTTGTTGTTGTTGTTTTACATTCTTTTTTAACTTATGCTGTACACAGCCTTTTACTATAGAGAGTTTCCTATGGAAATAGGCAGTTCAGAAGTGGTTCTCAAGTGAGGTTCATTCTAACAGGCAGCTGACATCCTAATGATGTATTCTGATTATTTTTTTCCTTCTAACAATAATGTGCTGATTCTAGCTTTGAACAGACTTAGAAACTACCATTATGGTCTTGACAACCATTGATGAACACCATTCATGTTCTTCATAAGAACAGGTTTTAAAAACAATTTTAGCTTTATATTAAATACACTATTACTTTTAAAACATGAAAGTAAGATCTATACAAAATTCACATTTTTTACCTACTAATATTTGTCCTCCATATATAGGCACTTGACTCAAATCAAGACACTGGCAATCAATTATCATTTTGTTATTCTCATAAATTCCAGTGCTTCAAAATTTCTCAGCAATAAATTTATAATGGAAAATTTTGAAGAAATCTAGATTCAAGTTTCCTGACAATCTGGACCAGAATGCCCAATCCATCATTCATACTTATTGTTTATTGCAAATATACAGACAAAGATGTGCAAAGTTACCAATAATTATAAATAGACTAATCATTAAATTAATAAACAGTCCTGGGAGATTACCACAAACCACAAAGAGATATACTCAGTATTCTAGATTCCTAAGGAATCTGAAGGACAGCAAACAAATTAAACAATTCTAAATTATGGCCCAATTAGCTCAAACTTTACAGGAAGACAGACAAGCTTTATTTTTTATTTATTTCTTATAAAAGAATGTAACAGATCTGCAACTTAGCAACCAAGCAACAGAACTTGTAAGAGATTTGCACTGTCTGAGAAAGCATTGCCAAAGAGTAGAAATTCCTAATGTGGTTGTAGTTTTCAAAATATTACCTCCAGAAGTGCAGTTCAAATCCTTCACATTTTTCTTTGCATTTTAAACAGGGGGCTCCAAATCCTTGCTCATGACCTAAGCCCATCTGTTAAAAAGAAAACAATGTGGATTTATTATTACACATTTTAAAAATCTAAAAAACTCAATAAATTACACTTTCAATTCCACTTACCACTCCTGTTTAAAAAACTTTCAAACAAATCTTTTAGGAGTATTACACTGTTTAGTCAATGATGACACCCAAGTATGTATATGGGGACTCCAAGTACATACATAACATACTTTGTATTCTTATTGCTTTTTTCAAAAAAAGAAAAGCATCAGAATAAAACTATATAGAATATTGCAATTTGCAAAGAGTCATGAATTGGTATCTTTGGCCACTACATGCCCTGTATACAATATGTACAGGGAGCTTAGAAAGTAAGCTTGGCCCCAAATGACCTATTTTGTGTGAAATATTTTAGGCAGTACAATACAAATATATTTATATTATGATAAATATAAGAATAGCAACAACAAACATATATTGGATGCCATGGAATTGAGATAAGTATGTATCTCAATTATCTCATAAAATGCTTATAAAGTAGACAACATTATTCTCAATTTTAGAGATGAACAACTAAAATTCAGAGATGTTATGGAACTTGTTTAAGATCAAAGTGTTAATAAGTCCAGGTCTGGCTAACTCTGAGGCATGTGCTTTTATGCCAGGGTGGGAGTAGGGGAATTACGATTGCCCTTATTATAACAAGAGAATATTTTTCTTTACCATATTAAACAATAATTCTCAGGAACTTCTTGACACATGACCTGAGTGCTGAATGGGGGAGGAGGAGATGAGGGAAGGACACAAGAAGGCAATGGAAGCTCTTTTACCCAACTATTGATAGAATAGTAAAAAAGATCAACCAGCTTTGTATCAGCACATTGGCCAAAAAAATAGCTTATTTTGTGTTTTAAATACCACATTAGTGACTACTGAAAAAAATCATTATCTGCTAGTGCCTGGAGAAATATTTCAAGACAGACATGCAACAGATTTTTTTCAATGGCACCTTTTTGTAATGTTGCCAAATTGTGTTTGTCACTAAGCATTCAAAATCACATTATAACTTGTTCCTTGAAAGATCAGCCCAGCCATGTCCTGAAGTTTAATAATTTTTTTTTTCACATAAAGAGAGCCCTTCCTTTTTTTCTGAAGAAAAACACCACATCCTCTTACCATAACTAAGGGCATATTCAAAACCAGCTGGTCCACCCAGCTGCTTGGGAGAACCCAGGTTATTTTAAGTAAGACCATCTCAAACACGCTTTCCAATGGTGAAAAAAAGCTGTCCAACATGAACTAAACTTCATCACCTTTGCCACGTTTACATTACCAATTTTCAAAAGAATAATAATTCTCCAAATTGTATATTTAACTTTAACACTAGAATACACTTTTTTTTTCTTTTGAGAAATCAAATCGTTTCCTTATCACTGATGATTATCATTTGCAGTACAGAAATAAAAAATGGGCTAAGCAAAAGCCAGAGATGACTAATTAGAGTTTTCTGGTCTTTTATAAATGCACTAGAGGCCCGGTGCATGAAATTCATGCACTCGGGGGGAGAGGGGTTCCCTCAGCCCCCCTGCGCCCTCTCACAGTCCAGAAGCCTCTGGGGTTGTCCGACTGACAGCTTAGGCCCGCTTCCCTAGAGAGCAGGCCTAAGCCATCAGTCGGACATCCTTATCGCTGCCGCGGAGGTGGGAAAGCTCCCGCCACCACCGCTGTGCTACCAGCCGTGAGCCTGGCTTCTGGATAAGCA